AAGAAACTCCTTCTCAAGGAAGGTTCCATTCCGAGCAACAAAGATTTTGTTATCGGATGGATGATAGAACTCATACCCTCTAGTTTCCTTGGGGTATCCCACAAAAATTACTTTATCAGATTTAGGCTCCAACTTACTAGACGTCATGAGACGTTTTACATAAGCTTCACAGCCCCAAATCTTAAAGTACGAGAAACTCGGTTTTCTCCCACGCCATAGTTCGTATGGTGTGCTCTCGACAGCTTTAGATGGAACTCTGTTGAGTGTGTGTGCTGCTGTTTTCAATGCATATCCCCAAAATGATTCTGGCAATGTTGTCAGACTAATCATGCTCCGGACCATGTCTAGCAAAGTCCGATTTCTCCTCTCAGACACTCCATTTAACTGAGGTGTCCCCGGAGGAGTGAGTTGGGATAAGATCCCATGCTCTTTCAGATAGTCATCGAACTCCAGGCTTAAGTATTCACCTCCTCGATCCGAGCGGAGGGTCTTAATACTTTTGCCTAATTGTTTTTCTACTTCGTTCTTGAATTCTTTGAATTTGTCAAAGCATTCCGATTTGTGTTTCATGAGATACACATATCCATATCTACTAAGGTCGTCAGTAAATGTAACGAAGTAAGAATAACCACCTCTAGCTACAGTGCTAATTGGACCACACACATCGGAGTGTATGAGGCCCAATAAGTCACTCGCCCTTTCACCGTGACCAGAGAATGGAGCCTTTGTCATTTTACCAAGTAAACAAGATTTACATACATCATATGACTGGAAGTCAAATGAATCAAGTACACCGGAACGATGTAACTTAGATATGTGTTTCTCGTTAATGTGGCCCAAACGACAATGCCAAAGGTACGCGAGATTCAAACTGTTAGGTTTGTTTCCCTTCACATCTACGTTATATATTGTGGTATCCATGTCAAGGACATAGAGACCGTTGGTCATTTTTGCACTTGCATAAAATATATCATTTCTAAAGACAGAAAGAGTTTTGTCTTTTACAACGAATGAAAATCATGCTTTGTCTAGGCAGGATACAGAAATGATGTTTCTGCTCATACTAGGTACAAACAGACAATTATTCAAATGCAATATTAGACCACTAGGTAGAGATAAACTATAGGTTCCGACGGCCAATGCATAGACGAGTGCGCCATTGCCGACTTTTAGTTGTATCTCTCCCTCCGTCAATTGTCTACATTCATGCATGTTTTGCATAGAAGTACAGATGTGAGAACCACATCTAGTATCCATCACCCAAGAGGTGATATCAGACATATTGACTTTGATAACGTAAATACCTGAGTTTTGGGGTTGACCCTGGTAAAGGTCTCTTAAGCATTGTATCATAGGACGCACTTCCATGTCCGCGTGGAGCCTTTGGAGCTCCGCGGTCATATTGGCCATAATGATACACTTTACATCTCGCGCGTCGTCCTCATACTTCTTGAACGAAGTGAGTTCGGACGCACGAGCATTAGCATCAGGGGTCTTGGGAGGATCCGTTTCGAGGATGTAGAGTTTCCTCTCACAGTTAAGAACGATTCGGAGGCTCATCTCCTAGTCAAGAAAGTTGGTCACGGATAACTTGTTGTTTTCCAGGATGTAACGCAGGTTGAAAGGGTTGTTGTTGTTTGCCATCTACAGAAAATTTTGCAAACTAGGTTATCTATCATGTTTAATAATTAATTAGGCCTTTAATTAATTATCTCCCACTATTTTTAACAAATCAATAACCCTCAATATTGATTCGGAGATTTCCGGCAAAACCTCTAGTGGGCCAAGATCCATATTTCATTATCTTGCGTTCCGCTTGGGCGTTACTCCACAAGACAACTATTTAGGTAGGAACATAGTTCCAACTGATGAGCCGGGCTCTCAGCTCTTGGTCTGGTGTTGGGCGAACAATATTACTACAACCGGACCAGGACACCTTTTCACCATACTTGTAATTGGCTGAGGCACGTCTTACAAGCAGACTACTTTGGTTAGGAA